AAGAAACTTAACTAACGTATCTTATCTTATGATTAACAAACTCCCACCTGCCACAGTTCGATCTCCCTTTTCACCACCTCTCAGTCACCCACGCCTCGCCTTTCTTCAGTCACACCAACCACATTCCCGCCCCAGGGCCTTTATATTCACTGATTGATCCCTCTGCCTGACACATTCTGACCCTAGATCTTCTCCTAACTGCTCCCTTGTCACGATTAAATGTTTACTCACATCTTTACTCAGAGAAGCCGTCTGTGATTCCTGGAACAAAAGCCACACCCTCGACACGCCGAGTTCCCTAATTAAGCCTTATCTTCTTTGCGGCACATATACGATGTATTATTTATTTTTTTGTCTTTTTGTTTACTGTTGTTCTTGGTTTTTTTTTTTTTCCCCCCCAGGGTGGCTTTTTATTATAGATAGGATCTCTCCCTTTCTCATTTATTTAATCTGCATCAGCTCCAAAAAAGAAAAAAATAATAAAACATTGGAATAGTATCTTATTTACTGTTGATCTTTTCTCACTGAGCTCCAAGAATGCAGGGACTGTGGTCTGTCTGGATCTCTGATGTATGCCTGGCACATGGTAGGTACTCAAGAAATATTTACTGAAAGAAAGAATGAATTTGATGCTTTTTAGATATTATAATATTAAAATTCAAAAAGTCATGGTTAGAGACAGCTTAAGTGACTTCACAGATGATTCCATGAAGTGAGGCGGGGAGCTCATATCTAGGCTGGATAATCTCAATGATCCTGATCATTCTGCTAAGACCATGACCAGAAGCACTGTTTAAAGTGCTTTGACAATCTACAGGCACCTAGATTTACTCCTGAGAGGGCACACTGGGAGTTCTGTGAAGGATGGGGCTTGGGCATGAGCCAGTGGGGTTCCTCAGTGAGCTGCAAGGAAAACCCAGACGTGTGCCATTTGCATTTCCTACATGTCATGGGTTACCGAGGTTGTCAATGGACAGCCATAAGAAGGGCTGTGTGACAGTTTTAATGCATGTCCCCAATGTTCTCTGACCCTCTTCCCATGGGAGGTGAGGACTTCCTTCTACTCTTGATTCTGGGCGGGCTTGTAATTTCTTCAACCAATAGAAAGGCAGAAGTGACACTATGTGACTTCCAAGGCTGGGTCAGAAAAGGCCAGGTAGTTTCCACCTACTCCTCTTACTCTACTTACTCTGGGGGAAGCCAACAGCAGGTAAGAAGTCTGACCCTGAGACCACCGTGCTGGAGAGGCCATGTGCAGATGCTCCCACCGACAGGCCCCGTGACACTCCCAGCCCACAGCCAGCACCAGCTGCCTGCCATGTGAGTGAGTGGTCTTGGATGTTCAGCCCAGTTGAGGCTTCAGATGACTGTGGCCCCAGCCAGCATCTGACTGTAACCGCTTGAGCGGTTCCAAGCAAGAACTGCTCAGCTGCGCCCTTCTCAACTCACAAAAGCATGAACAAAATCAGATGGCGATTTTTAGCTGCCAGGTTTTGTGGTAATGTATTAGGCATCAGTAGTAAACAGAACAGGCTGTGTCTTTAGCACTTTCTCCTTCGCAAAGTCTTCCAGCGTCCTAAAATCCCAGAGTCTACTTGACATCCCCACTGGATGCTAGCTCATCCTGACCTACCCTCTGACATCTCAAACCTAACATATCCAAAAATAAACTCTTGGTCCCAACACCGCCTCTCACCCCTTAGTCTTCCCTGTCCAGTAAATGGCACCTCCTTCTCCAGTTTTGCAAGTCATAAGTCTGGGCGTTGTCCTTGAATTCTTCCATTTTCTCCACTCCACACCCAACCCCTCTAAAGGTCTGTTGGCTTTACCTCCGAAATGCATCTCACACCTGTCTTCTCTTCACCTGTACAGCTACCACCTGGGTCTAAGTCACCATCGTTTCTTGCCTGACCACCACTGTAGCCTCCTGTGGCCCTTGCCTTTCATGTCAATTCATTCTCCCCACAATAGCCAGAAGAATTTTCTTAAGATATAAATCAAGTCATGACACCCCAGTGGCTGCCCATTGCCCTGATAATAAATCTAACCTCTTTGCTGTGGTCAGTACAGTTCCCTCTTATCCGTGGCGGAGCTTTTCATGGTTTTAGTTACCTGTGGTCTGAAAATATTCAATGAAAGATTCTAGAAATAAACAATAAGTTTTAAACTGAGTGCTCTTCTGAGTAGCATGATAAAATCTCATGCCATCCTGCTCTGGCCCACCTGGGCCCCTTCGTCCAGTGTATCGCTTAGTAGCCGTCCTGGTTATCAGATCGACTGTAGCGGTGTTGCAGTGTTTTTGTTCAAGTCACCCTCATTTTACTTAATAATGGCCCAAAGCGCAATAGTAGTGATGCTGGCAATTCGAATATGTAAAGTATTTCCTCTAAGTGAAAAGGTGAAAGCTCTTAATAAGGAAAGAAAAAAAAAACACAACACCTATGCTGGGATTGCTAAGATCTGTGGTAAGAATAAATCTTTTATCCATAAAATTGTGAAGGAAAAATAAATTTGTGTTAGTTTTGCTGTTGCACCCCAAACTGCAATTGTTATGGCCACAGTTGGTGCTAAGTTCTTAGTTAAGATGGAAAAGGCGTTAAACTATCATGGGTAGGTACACATAGGAAAAAATATAGTATATATAGGGTTCAGTGCTATCCTGTTTCTGGCATCCACTGGTCGGCTTGGAATGTCTCCCCCACGGATAAGGGGGACGGCTGTATAGTGTTCCCTGGCTGGAATTTGGCTTCTGACCCCTCTGTTTCCACTCTTCCCCACAGTGAGCGGAACCAAAAGAAACCAGCATTTCCAGGCTATGTCAGAAAGCTGCCAAGTCTGTCTCTACCCCTTTTCTTATAGCTGGGATTTCCCTCCCCGGAGAGGACGTTCCCCAACTCTGTTCCTGTTGCCCTGGCCTTCTCTCTCTGTGGTTCTAGTCCATGCCAACTCTTTTTC